AAAAAAAATGGTTATACATTTTACAACAACCTATCTTCATGACCTCCGTCCTTCTCGGCACTTTTCAGATTTGAATTACGCATTTGGCGCACGATTATTGGCCATAAAAATAACATCAAGAGCTTTTCAAGGACAGTGTTTGAATTATTTGTCCTTGGAAAGTTCTTGATCTGAATTTCCAAATAATCATAAAAGATACTGTTCTATAGCCATTTCGCAATGTCTTCATTATCCTTTTAGTTGTCTTTCTTCCGGTCCACTGTAAGCTACTTCTGTTAATGTACATGTGATAAAAGCGTTTTTGCTGTATAAAAAATGTTGTGACAGCAGTATTTTTTTTAACGTAGCACTGAATTTACTGTTTTAATTTGACATCATCAAGAGTATTTATGGAGTGGCATTGGCCGCGTTACCCGCAACTTTCGAAAATTTTCAACCGACCGACCAAATCCCTGATTATCTCGGTTCGCAAGAGAGTACAATTTCGCATGGCCTTCTACGGTACTGTCGATTGATTGAGGATATTATACAATAATGTATTACAATCTGGTCTTATATTACTTCAGTCATTAGTAGTGAACGAAATGCTCAAAGTTTCCTGCTATTTCCGCAAGTCAGAAAAAATAATTAGCAGTGTGTATGGATCATAATAATTTTAGATTTTTAAAAAATGACTTTTTCATGAGGGGGCTTATATTCGGGCGAAAACGTTAATATCCGGGAGGTTTGCGTATCTCATGTTCACGGAGATTTACCTCAAAGTACATGCAGGCTGCATGATGCAGCAGCATCTGATATTATATTATACTACACAAATTCAATATTTTCCTCGTTGGGGCCTGTTACTAACTCCGTCGAGGAAAATGCTTAGTAAACCTCGGATAATACATTTCTGGACAAATACGCGTACAAGTAGCAAAATTGAAAGGTGATTTCAGGGTTACCCAATACTTGACGCTGTGCAACTTCACTTCGACAAGTTGAGGGGGTATTGATTTCCAGTCGCTTGATGGGCCCGCGTCCTTGAACGGCCATCTTTCTGCAACATTGATTCGCCATTAATACCTGTTTTTTACCATTATTATTCGGTTTGTCGATGTATTATACTGCTGCAATAACGCTATAGTGGCCCCTAAGTATTCGCGAGCATATTATGGATTGCTTTAGTTTCTGTACCGTACCCTACTTTTTTATGACCTAATGACATGTAGAAAAGCAACCGAAATTTTACGTTTGCGACCTCAGCTGATGTAGGGCAACGGCATTACATTATCATTTGCTCTCTATTCACAGCGCTTAATTAGCACATGGCTACAAGCTGGCATCATGACAGGCACGTCCAAACGTTAAAGCGACTCGTATTAATATTGCCTCGAAGTAGGAGATTCAATAGCCGAATACCTGCAACAGCCGTGATGATTGCTCTTCGTCGCGATGATACCGCTCTGGGAGAGTCCGTACTAGCGCTTGTTTTCCCACTGCTTGCCATGTATTGATTGCTCTCCGCCTTGATGATGCCGCTCTGGAAGCTAAAGTTGTCAAATCCGTGGCTCGACCTTCCGCCATAAGCTCATTTCCTTTTATTCCTGTTAGGCAGAAGATCCAAGACAAAATGGCCGAAGAAGACGTTCAAGCTCTTGTCGTGGACAACGGCTCCGGTATGTGCAAGGCTGGTTTCGCCGGCGACGATGCTCCGCGCGCCGTATTCCCATCGATCGTGGGTCGCCCCAAGCATATGGGCATTATGGTCGGCATGGATCAGAAAGACGCCTACGTCGGTGACGAGGCGCAGTCCAAGCGCGGTGTGTTGACGCTGAAGTACCCTATCGAGCACGGCATCGTGACGAACTGGGATGACATGGAGAAGATTTGGCATCACACGTTCTACAATGAGCTGCGAGTGGCTCCTGAAGAGCACCCCGTACTACTGACGGAAGCACCGCTTAACCCCAAGGCCAACCGCGAACGCATGACTCAGATTATGTTCGAGACGTTCAACGTACCCGCCATGTACGTGAATATCCAGGCTGTGCTGTCCCTATATGCTTCAGGCCGTACTACAGGCTGCGTTCTCGACTCGGGTGACGGTGTTTCCCACACCGTTCCTATTTACGAGGGCTACGCCATTCCGAGTGCCATCAAGCGCCTGGACCTGGCTGGCCGCGATCTGACGGACTACATGATGAAGATTTTGACAGAGCGTGGATACTCGTTCACCACCACGGCTGAGCGTGAAATTGTGCGCGACATCAAAGAGAAACTGACGTACGTGGCTGTGGATTTCGACCAGGAGATGAGAACTGCTGTGGAGTCATCGGGTCTGGAGAAGAGCTACGAGCTGCCGGACGGTAATGTCATCGTCATCGGAAACGAGCGATTCCGTACCCCTGAGGTACTATTTCAGCCTGGCCTCATTGGCAAAGAGGCTTTGGGTGTCCACGAGTGTACCTTCCAGACTATCATGAAGTGTGATATCGATATCCGTAAGGACTTGTACTGCAACATCGTGCTGTCGGGTGGTACCACGATGTATCCTGGAATCGGTGAGCGCTTGACCAAAGAGCTGACAGCTTTGGCTCCGTCCACGATGAAGGTCAAGGTTGTCGCTCCGCCTGAGCGCAAATATTCGGTCTGGATCGGTGGATCCATCCTGTCATCACTGTCGACGTTCCAGCAGATGTGGATCTCGAAGGCTGAGTATGACGAGGCTGGACCCTCGATCGTCCACCGCAAGTGCTTCTAACCTGCCACGAGAGA